CTTGCAACTTCAATGCCTAAGAAGTATCTCAGTTCTCCAAGATCCTTAATTTCAAATTCTTTATGTAGATTCCTTTTCAGACAACCAATCTCACTTAGGTCATTCCCCGTGACAACAATATCATCCACATAAACAATTAGGACCGACACCAAAGATCCCCTTCGCTTCACAAACAAGGTATGATTGGATTGAGTCTGAGTGTAGCCAAAAGCAATCAAGGCCTTCCTGAATCTGTCAAACCATGCTCTGAGAGATTGTTTCAAGCCATAAAGTGACTTCTTAAGCCTACATACCTTTCCCTTTTTAGTATCACTGTAAAAGTCACCAGGAAGATTCATATACACTTCCTCTTGCAGATCCCCATTTAGGAAAGCAATCTTCACATCAAGTTGAAACAAGGGCCAAGAGTATGAGGCAACAAGAGAAAGAAGTATCCGAACAAAGGTCATCTTTGCAACTGGTGCAAATGTCTCTAAATAATCAATACCATAGGTCTGTGTGTACCCTTTTGCAACAAGTCTTGCCTTGTACCTTTCTATACTTCCATCTGCCTTATATTTTACTGTGTAAACACATCTGCATCCAACTGTCTCCTTGCCTTCTGGTAGATCCACAATGTCCCATGTCTGATTCTTAATCAAAGTTGCCATCTCTTCCTGTATAGCTGTTTTTCACTCAAGTTTGGAGGGAGCCTCACTAACACCCTTGGGTATAGAAACTGAGTCAATGGAGGAAAGAAAAAAATGATAGGAAGGAGAAAGTCCACTGTAGGATAAGTACTGTGAAATACAATAAGCAGTACACTTTCTCTTCCCTTTTCTGAGAACAATAGGAAGATCAAGGTTATCTGTAACAGGGTTAGTAGAATCAATGAGAACTGAAACAGTAGCGGGACCAAGAGGAATACTTGAATCCATGTCAGCCGAATCTAGAGTCTCCAAGGAATCGACAGGAAGTGATGTGAGTTCTGTTGCAGTGGAATCAACCTCCTTGTGAAGTCTCTGTCGAAAGTAATGCTGAGAAGCAGGACGCAAAGGAGGTGGTAAGGTAGGATGGTCAAGCACAGGAGTAGACACAGGATGGTCAAGCATAGGAATAGACACAGGGACTGGAATTGGGAGAGGAATAGACTGCTGACTCACTTCCCCAAAACACTCCCCCTGAGAAGGATTCTTTGAAAAGATGTGGATTCAAAAAAAGTGACATCCATGGTAACATACCGGCTCCCAGAGACTGGATCATAGCAGCAATACTCTTTTTGATTTTCTGCATATCCAAGGAAGACACACTTCTTTGCCTTGGGATCAACCATCGAGCGGTTAGGACCAAGGATATGTGCAAAGTAGACACACCCAAACACCCTGAGAGGAATGGGGTGTTGAATCCAAGTATACGAGAGGGTACCTTGTTAATCAGATATACTACTGTGAGAACTGCATCACCCCAAAACCGAATTGGAACTGTAGATGTGCTCATCATGCTTCTTGCAATCTCAACAATGTGTCCGTTCTTCCTTTCTGCAACACCATTCTATGTGGGTTGTAGAGACAACTGCTCTGATGGACAACACCATATTCTAACAGATATGAGGCAAGGTGTTTTTCAAAATATTCACTGGCATTGTCTGATCTGAACACCTTTATTCTTGTTCCAAATTGTGTTAGCACCATCTGATGAAATTGCCTCACCAAGGAAGGTACTTCATCGCGGGATCTCATCAGGTAAATCCAAGAGTATCGTGAGAAATCATCCACAAATAAGAAAAAATATCAATAGCCTCCCATAGAAGGAACATGGTAAGGTCCCCACACATCCGAATGAATAACAACAAAAGAAGAAGAACACTTTTTATTAATAGGTTTAAATGAATGTCTACAATGCTTTCCAAGTTGACAACCTTCACACTCCAGACCTGACAAACTAACAGACTCAAAAAGTTTTGGAAACAAAAGACTCAAAGAAGAAAAAGGTAAATGGCCCAAACAATTATGCCAAAGCATAATTTGACCCATAAACCCTGACTCACTATCCCTGCTGACATGATGACTCTGATGAGAAGGAAGAATATCCAGGAGGTAGATCCCATTCACTTCACGACCACTCCCAACCGTCCTCTTTGAATCCAGATCCTGCAAAATACAATGACCAAGAGAAAAAACTACTGAACAATTCAGGTTCTTAATCAAACTACTAACAGATAACAAATTAGTGTTCAATCTAGGAACATGAAGGACTGAGGGTAAAGAAATAGAATCACTAATCTTGATAGATCCCTTCCAAGCAATAGGAACATGGGATCCATCAGTTGTGGAGACCCTATCTCTGCCAGAACAGAGCTGGTAAGAAGAAAAAATAGTAGAGCTATGAGTCATGTGCTCTGAGGCTCCAGAATCTATAATCCAAGGAGGTCCCTCCTTACCTGAAGTAGAAACATAATTTGCAGTGACGTGTGAACTACCTATATGAGCAAAGGAAGTAGAGTGGACTGCACCAGTGCCACCTGTACCTTGTTGTCCGCTTGTTGCTGAATTGGAACTGGTTGTATCCTGTTGGTTCAAAAGTTGCCCATACCTCTCAAGTTCGGCCCTTACTGCAGCAGCTGCAACAGACTCCAGAGCAATTGTAGTAGGAGGGGCCGGAATGTCACCAGTAACTGCCATGTGTGCATTTCCCTTCTTATTTTTCAGTCTAGTCGACACAAAATGTGGGTGAAGCTTCCAGCAAGTATCTCGTGTGTTTAGGCTTATTACAGTAGTCACAGATCAAATCTCTTTTATCTTCCTTCTTGATTTCACTGCTACCCCGATCTCCACTTTGTTTAGGTTTCACAGTACTCACCATGGCAGACTGATCAGAAATAGGATTTTTCATCATCACATCTCTTCTGCTCTCCTCCCCTGACACAAAGGCATATGCCTGGGAGAGGGTAACACTATCCCTGGAAAGAAGATGTTGTCTTGCAATATCATACTCAAGATTAAGGCCAGCAAGAAATTCAAACACCCTATACTTCTCTAGATGTTTCTGATAGGTAGTTGCATCCTTAGTGGTTTCTCAAGCAAATGTTTCTAAATGGTCAATCTCCTGCCACAGGGTTTTAAGGGCTGAAAAATAGGCTGCAACAGGTTTATCTCCCTGCCTTGTACAAATAATCTGATTTCTTAACTGATAAGCCCTAGCAACATTCTCCCTCTGTGAATAGGTTTCTGCAACCCCATCCCATATTTCCTTAGTTGTATTTGCCCATAAAAAATTTTTACTTATATGGGGCAACATGGAATTACACAACCAAGTCATCACCATATAATTCTCCTGTACCCACCGGGAGTTGCTAGTTTCGGGTTTCACTTCCTCACCAATGATATACCCTAATTTCCCACGAGCACCAATGGCCATCTTTGCAGATTGTGACCATTCCAAGTAATTTGCACCATCCAACCTAACTGTAGTAATGGTCCCAGTCCCAAAAAGGTCTCCAACACCTCCTCTCACTAGTCTCATTTCACTTCCGGGCTTATTTTCAACTCCTTGACCCTCCATGCTTCTCAAAAAATGTAAAGAAAAAAACTTAAATATGTAACAAGATCAAATGAAACACTTCTGGAACCAACAACACCTTTCTAGTGTCCTAGATTGTCTTCCCACAAAAGATTCCTTTTCTGTAGGACGGGAGAAGAGAGAGAAGAGGCAGTCGCTCTCTCTAGAAGTCTCCAAATCAGGCAAGACTTGAACTGCCCCTTATAGAAAACTCCAAGGAACCCTAAAAAATTAGGGTGCCACTTCCTATGTCAAAATTGAAGAGTCCAACAGAAACAGGACTCTTCCCCTTTCTCCAGTTTTTCCTAATTTTGATGAGAAACCCTAGACTAGCTATAGCGCCACTTCGATCAGCCTCTTAAATCACCATGCAATCAGCCGATCTAGGGTTGCATGAGGAAACAACTCAAGGAACCTTCGCCCTACTCTGATACCAAGTAGAAATCACTGATTGTAGATTTAGTTGAATTTCTCGTGAAAGGAAAGGGGAGGAAGATAAAGATTTCAGTAGTAGAGAGGAAAAGAGAGGAAGAAAAGAGTAGGAAGTCAACCAGGATTCTTGAATTAACCCTAGCCGCCAACCCCTCATTATATTTATACTTAACTTAAAGGATGAGATATTACAAGGATGCCCTTAGTAGGGCGGCTACTAATGTAGCTGAACAGTCACAACTTAAAAACATAAACTAATGGGCCTAAAGCCCAACAACTTCCTAACTAAATAGCTTAAAATAAGAATAAAAAACAACTAGGCCCAACTCAACAGAAAGAAAGAAAATAGAAATATATGATTGTTGATCAAAAAAAGAAAATAAAAACATAAGATATAACTAATAAGATGGTTTCTTGCAAATCATTTGGAATCATGGAGTTCCAGCAAATTTTTGATTGAAAAATCATTTTGGAGGAAATCAAAGCCAGTCCAAAAGTTCTAATGCCATGATTTCATCACATATCTTGACAATCAGTGTTTCTTGGACATAGGTGTGAGAACCAGAATCCAGTGCATGTCTGAAAACCTGACTTAGAAAGATGAAAAGGGGACTGAGGGACATGTCTAAACAAAAGTGTATAATATTAAAATTCTCCGATTTAAAAACATTTTATACCTATTATCTCTCTTACTTTATAACATTCAATAGGAAAAATGACACCAATAATGTTCTTTGGCTGTACACTTATGTCAAATAAAAAGGAGGAAAAGAAAACCTTCATTTATGTCAAATAAGCAAGGACAAAATCCTCAAGAATCCATGCAATGTTGGAATCCAATGTGTAACTGGCATTGACAACTTGTCCTTTTAGGAGTTCATGCAACAATGCTATAAGTAAAAGAAATATAGTGCAATGACTAGCAATTAGACAAGCTTAGACATTAAGGCAATGCACTTCTTTTTTGATATATAACAACGATATTTATTGTGGCAAAAGAATTAATGTTAAGTATATGTATATTTTGTTAGGCTGAAATTTAGGCAGTGCACATTTTTGGGGTTACTTTGTGTATTGCTTTTGTGGACCGTACCAATTTCAAGTATCAGGGTGGGCCTTGGCGCAACGATTGGGTTCCTCCATTGTAACCTGGGAGACCAGGGCTCAAATCTTAGAAACAGCCTCTATCTATGTGCAGGGGTAAGGCCCCGGTACATTTGTCCCTCCCCAGATGAGTGTGTCTTGGACCCCCCCCCCACCGGCCGGTTTTTTAAAACTAAACTTTGATGGGAGTAGTCAGGGGAATCCTGGACAATCGGGGATTGGAGGTGTGTTTAGGGATGAGAATGGGCTTGTTTCAGCCATGTTTTCAGGCCCAATTGGAGTGGGTGTACAGTAATGAGATGAATATAAGAAAACTCATCATTGAAGGGGACTTGGAGGTGGTGGTAGGGTGGCTGAATAAAGAAAATAGCAGTTTATGGGTGTACAGTAATGAGAGGAGGAAATTTAGATGGCTTCTTCAGGAGATGGAAATTAAGATCAGCTGGGTGAAAAGACCAGCTAACTCCTTTGCTGATGGGTTAGCTGAGCAAGGAGTCGAGAGGGAGTTAATGTTTTGGGCACAAGTGTAATTTTTTCCATTTTCTGTTCTTGGGAGCTCAAGCTCCAGCTGGAAGATAAGAAAGTTTATCTTCATGCTTGTAATATTTTTGTGATTAATTAATGAAATGTGGTTATTGATAAAAAAAAAATATTCAAAGTGGGTTTAGGGAAAGAAGAAGAAGCATCAAGATAGTGACAGTAATGTATTTATTATTCTTCAAAAAATTGACCATCAAAGATTCAAAGTCTCCTCTCTTTATCTACTTATCTGTCCATCTCTGGCAGAATAGGAGTTTTCCCACTTCATTTTTTTAATGTTTTCTTTGTGCAATCACTTCACTCTATAGTTCTATCTGCAACCACAGCTGGATCTGTGCCCCCCTTTGTGTTTGGTTTTGTTCTTTTCTTTACAACAAGCACAGAACACACACATACCCCTTTTCTTCTTTGTATTACTGTAAAGTTCAAATAACAGGGGCTGCCGCCATTTATTTGTTTGTTCTTTTTTCCATTCTCTGATGTATACACATGCAAATATATTCTCTTTGTATATTGGTCTCATATTAGAAGGACAAGGAGCACTAAACCCCCAAGTTTCCATCCATAATATTTGTAATATTACTTTATCCTACCTTTAGGTTTTAATTGTTTCATGTCAGATAACTTTAGTATTTGTTGTGCTATTTCCACTAGTAAAACAAGCTAACTCATAAAACTACCACAGAAACAAGGTAAAGCTAACCAGGTTTTTTCCATAAAAGATGATTGCCTAGGTGATCCCTAGATGGCACCTAGTGGCATAGGCATTAGGCAATCAAGTGTTCCCCTCTCACCTAACTTGCCTTGGCAGTTATGCAGACAAGTGGAACCAGCCATATTACTGTGTTTCTTTGTAATCATGCTTTGGACAATTGGCCTTTTATCAATAATACCACTTTGCAATTCCTAAGACTCCCAAAATTTTAAAACTCTACATTAACTAATAGTCCTTTAGATTTTCAAGACGAAGAATACAAGTGTTGTGTTAAATTGAGACAAAAACAGAGATTAGAACCTTTGAACATCTATCTGAAAATCAAGCACCTTATTGATAGGATGGTTTGCTAATGTTTAATAGGCAAAATTCTAATCCTGAATGCCTAAATCAGATATTCCTACGATAACTATGTGAATTTGTTCTGCAAATGGCTAGATAATCTACTTCTTGGCTACTTTCACGGGAGCACCACATGCAACAAATGAATTCCTCAAATACCACTTCCCAAACAATAAGCTAAAACAATGGAAACAAAGAAATGGAGCAAAAAAAGGATACTTTCAATACACTGCTGGGTGCTATTGAGTTTGGAAAGCTTGTCCGCAAGTATCTGTTCGTTGAAGATACTATTCATCCCACCTCAAGAACACGCCTTTCACCTCCCCCAAAGAACTTCACAACACGAAAACTACAAAACCAATCGAATTTAGATCCAGATGTATGCTTGGCAACATAATACCTACACGACGAGAATCAGAAATGAATGGATGAATGAGTAAAAGAATTAAAAGAAGTTTGAATTATAACGGTCCACTTCGTCAAGAAAACCAAAATAAACTTTTCGAACCCTAAGCATAAAATTCATGCAAAGACAGAGCTTTCCAACCGCAATCCGTTAAATTCAACTAATGGGGCCAAACGAGCTGTTGACAAATGAAAGATAAGGACTTCGAAGAAACAATGGAAACGCTACGAACAACGAAAAGCGGAGCATATTTTGATCCAAAACGAATACGAGTTGGCAAAACTGAAAATACGAAAAAGCTAAAAGAAAATGAAATCTTACATGAACTTCTCTGACACCTCTAAGAAAACCGACTTTGAAACCCTAAAGACCACTGCTAGGGCAAAAAAATTGGGAAAAAAAAAAAAAAAGAGAAATGCCAAGGAGAGACCCTGGGATTTGCAGAGGGATTCAGGCTTTTACGAGGGTTTTGATGAATTTTATTTATGCATTTTATTTATTTATTTCAGCTCTTCAATTTTTCAGAGTAACGGAAAGAAAGTTTCAGATGTCTACTGTTCGAAAACACGCAATGAGTCGTGCATACTTGTTTCGAGTCTTTCGACCTTCAGCGCACGATCAAGTGACATAATCAGCATCACGCACCATACACGTCTTCAGCTTTTAATAAAGAAAGTGGAAGATGGCGCTGGTGGGTCTCATTCCCATACCAACAGAGGGGGTTATTCCTTACCTTAATCATCCCAAAAACCATATGATAAGTTCAGAACCGTAGGATCCTACTGAATCATTTGGACGTCCAAGATCGACGAGAATGTAGTTTCACTTGATATATATTTTTCACATGTAATCACAAAATGACGAAACAAAGAAACCTGATACACATAGTTACGTCGCTACTGCATGTGTGCTTCAGAGATGATGCCTCAAGCTCAGCTTCTGCGTCATTGCTCCAAGAGCAACGCTTTCCGTTTCTTCATTCTTCCGTCCTCAAGTCTCTGGGACGCAATCTGAAATCGTTCTCTCCTACCATACCATGTCCTTAAACATGCTGTGGCAGCTCGCCACTTGTTCGACGAAAAGTTCGAAAGAAACCTTGGTGGACTACTGGGCTATATATAATCTCTGAAGTCTGGATATGACCACGGGGAGCCTCAGATGGCGCTTAACCGCTTCTCTTCGGTGCAATTTATGAAGGGGAACAAGTTCATTCCCTATCACTGGAATCTGGCTTTGTGCCATTTCGACGCATTTTACAGATTAACCAGCATATCACAACCTACTTCTGTCATTTTAATGCAACATTACCACACGTCTTGCAGAAAATATCACAACCTGCTTCTATCATTTTCATGGGCGTGGCAACTCTGTCGAAACCAAACACTTGTACAGATGAAAGAAAGTCGATAAGTGTTGCAGAGGCAAGGCAAATGTTGGGTACCATGAGATGTTTTCAATACACGGGGATGTGCTGTGGGACGGCCACAGCGGAGATGTGATCTCATAAATTTAAGTTGGTAGCGTCACGCTTTTCATCGAAGTTCTAATTTTATCTTAAACCTTTTGTATTAAAATTCTTGATCAACACTGTAATTTAGCAGTTTAGCTCAAGTGACAATTCGGTCCCCTAACTTTAAAATTTGACAATTCAATACTCGAATTTTCAAAATGTGACAATTCAATATCCAAACTTTCAAAATGTGACAATCCAATGCCTGTTGTTAATTAGTCCGTTAATCAACCGTTAAGTGACATTTGAAAAATCAAAAAATGTAATTCAAATGCCATCTAAATCTCTTTATCAACTATCTTGACAAAAAACTAAACAGTCCCAAATTCTAGATTCTTCTAAACAGTCACCAACTTTTTTGAATAGAAAAGACTAGAATTTGGGACTGTTCAGTTATTTTTTCAACGTTTGGATGGTTTATAAAGTGAATTAGATGGCATTCAAAGGGCATTTTTTGACTTTTCAAATATCATTTAACAGCCGGTTAACAACAGGTACTAGATTGTCACATTTTGAAAGTTTGGGTACTGGATTGTTGCATTTTAAAGTTTGGAGACCAAATTGCAACTCTGTCGAAACCAAACACTTGTACTGATAAGGAATTTTAAACTTAAAAGGCTCCCATTCGAGCCTTATAAGCCCTATCGGTAGCATCGTTACTGCCAGGATCAGGAAATTGGATACCACAATCAGTGGTCAAGACCAGAGAAAATGATACTAGCATAAAACCAGATAGAGAATAATCCACATCCCAATAACAATTCTCGACCTAGGCAATGTTTGGTTCAATTCTCATTCTTTTTAATACTTATCCAAGATGAAATTCTAAAATAGATAAGAATGGATAAAAATAGGCTGAATGAGAAAATATTGCTATGAATCAAACTCCTTTTTTTAAAAAGGAATTATTTTCACAAGTGTCATATGCTATTCATTTTCATTCTTTAAAAAGAGAAAAAAAACTGTCAGTTTTCATAAACCCTACCCAAATCCAAAACTGTTTACAATGTTGAGATGAGTATCCTGGATAACCTACTAATGAACATCTATTTCAGCAGTTTTATAAATAGAGTTTCCTTAAAGAATGAAAATGAGTAAAGTGGGGTGTGATTATTTTTCATGCCACAGGCTACCTAAACTTTTGTGTTATGGGCTGATTTTTAATTCTAAAAAGAATATGGCCCATAGCAAGAATTTTATATCAAAACACTAATGCTATTAATTCTGGCCCATTTTTGCCCAGAATAAGCAAGAATTTAAAGAATGGAGACTAAAGCAGTGAAGCAAACATGGCCCATGTTTCTGGTCTTGATCGGGTTGGCATAGGCTATTTTTCAACCCAACTAGCTTAATTCTGTCATAGTTTCAAACAAGTCAGAGCTCACAAATACCACTACCACCAGGCACCCAGCCAAGAAGTTTTTGCCTCGTCATCTTACCGCCAGCCAATTCAGATGTTTTAACTTCGGCTAACGTTGGCAGCCAAAACCAAGTCCAAAACTATTCTGAAATACACGACTACTTTAGTGCCTTGACAAGGCGCTAGGCAGCTTAAGAAAAAGAAGACCACCAAAAAATGGGAAAAGAATGGGTCTACATGCACCACAATTCAATATCCAAATAAACTAGGGTCCTTTACTGAGAGAATCTTTAACATAGATTTCCAAAACCACCAGTTAGAAATTAGAACTAGTGATACTCAATCTTGCCATACTCATTAATTAAAGTAAAAAATTTCCGAAGTAACATGAGAGACCGCAATTCAACAACAAAAATTATGACTCACAAGTACTCTAAACAAACAGAACTATATCCTACTCGGTTGGATATCAAAAGAACAGCAACCATAACTATCTCGCTTCACTGCTCGCCAGGCAGTGTTTTAATGATATCAGAATCACCTGCAGTTAAAACACAACAAAAAATAAGTTTCTCAGCTTCAGGATGGATGTATTACATAGTAAATTGTAGCTCGATACAAGTATACTTTTCGCACCTGGGTCAATAATGCTAAGGCATGATACACGGTAATATTTTCCACATGCTGTGCCCAAGTCAACATTGTCTAGAAAACATTAACAAAAAATAGGTTAGATGATGTTAGTCATTTTCAACCAAGGAACCCTCCCACTGTTGTTTTAATTTTAACATTTTATTTATAGGATTTCAATTATTCAGGAAGTGCACATTTATCAAAATATTCAGGAAGTGCTTGTTTAACAATAATATACCTCTCTTTAATATTTTACAAGAGAAGAGATATTATGGAACTGTGTTTATTATAACAATAGGTGCCCTATTTCAGTCAACAAACATCAATGAATTCAGTATGGAATGTCTTTAGCAGTCTGCCAAAATTACATCACACCATAAGAAACCCATCTGGAGGGATGGACCAAGCCAGACAAACGAGACAAGTCTGACCTCAAGTACCAAGTCACTGTACCCTCGGTAGGTGCAATTAGCAGGCACCTTCTGGATCATTGCCAAACATGTATAACAAATCATTATGATTTTATGTTCATCTTCATTACAGAAGGTAGGTATTCCTTGTAAGGTAGTAGATGAACCGAGAAGAACCGTTTACATATATAGCAATTCCACTGGAACTATTTCAAGTTAATGCCTAAATGCCAGGAATTTTTATGGTTTTTTTCTATTTTATTAATTAATCTTTCTTTTGGTGAGGGTGTTCAAAATGACTAGTCACTTTATTTTGATAGAGCCTTCACAATGATTAATTATCAAAACTATTTGGGAAGCACATTTGGGTTAAGTATGATGGTAAAGACATGTAGCTTGAATCTAGTGCCATCTGGTAAAGTTCAAAACATAGCATCTTTCTGCTAAGCCATCGTGTTGTAAGATGAAAAGAGAGAATGGGAATCGAGTGGAATTTTGCAATTTCTACTTTTATAAAATTCTAGTAACAATCCCATTTCATAGCAAACAAATACATTAAAATGCTAAGAAAACCTAAAAAGAAATGAAGTCATTTGACATGACTTCCACATAACCATGTACTAACTGCGAATATATGAAACAAATGGTCCAATGATAATTGGAAAATTCTTCGGAGAAGTACAAAAACACACGATGCAGAATTCTGAATTCCAGCCCCCCCCCCCACACTACTAGCCCTCTGCCCCCCTATAAACCACATCCTGCCCGTGAATTTGGCATCAATTCACGGTCAGGATGCATTCCCCCTGTACTTTGGGGCTGGAGAATTCTGATCTGGGCTGATTTGTACTTCTCCCAATATTCTTTGGGTAAGGTAATGAGTAATTAGAACTTTTAAGTTTACTCCTTTTTCATAGATGGCTTCCAAGGTCCCTTCAAATGTGCCAAGCATTGAGTCATGTAATAAGTGTACCATTTGCCTTCATCAAGAAAATGTGTACCATGTGTAAATTATTATTTGATATTAAATTCAATGAAGTCTATCTCAGTAAGAGCAATCCAGAGGAAAAAAACAGCAGATAACGGAAAATGAATTCTTTAGCTGATAAAACTCCTGTTACTATCCAGATCATTTCATTAAGTCTCAAGCATTATGCACTGATGATAAAGGGAATAGTGGACCACACCTCCAGTGTAAATCAAGAAAAGGTTGGAGTAGCAAGAAATAAGAACAAAACAAAACGGCATATTAAAAATAAATTAAACAAAAGCTAAAGATATTGAAATGGAAGAACAAACAATAACTCAGTGGCATTCATTCAGATTCAACACAGCAAGCTAGACCACTTACTTCCGTTAAAATGGTGGACGCCAACCTTTGCAAGCATTGCATAGTACTCAATCTCGGATTTCCGCAGAGGCGGGCAATTGTTTGAAATAATAATCAGTTTTGCTGCAAATACCAAAAAAAAAACAATGACCCAAATCTTAATAAAGAAACCGAAAAGAAAACCTAACCATGAATAAACTTTTCCATCGTATTAAGGTCAATAAAACAACATTAGAATAACGAAGCAGGGAGATTAGGATCCACCTTTCGAACTTCTCAGGGTTCGAAGGACGGTTTTGTAACCAAGGGTGTATTTCCCGCTCTTCATCACGAGAGCGAGCCTGTTGTTGATACTCTCATGAGTCTTCTTCTGTAAAATCATTGCAAAAAAATAAAAAAGATTAAGCCAAGAAAACACAGATCTTGACAGTAAGCCTGAACTAATAAAAATAAACATTGGATCAAGAGGTACATACCGTCTTCTTCACCGCCACCATTGTTGCTACTTACAAAGATCCCAAAGCCCTCCCCAGGTGTTTCTTCAGAGGATGAAAAGAAAAGTGCTAATTTTTAGCTTCTCGTGGTGAGTAAAACGAATCAAAGATTAAGGCTTCTAAGAGAGAGAGAGAGAGAGGGAAAAAATCGAGAGTTAGAAAAGAGTGATCTTACCTTGTATTACGGTGTTTTTCCCGGAAACCCTAATGAGTTGCAACGCTGCGCAGGGGCGAGAGAAGGGAATAGAACATTTTAGGGTTTTTGTCCACAAGATCACGTGCAATTCACGTGAGTAATGAACCCTTTGTCCACAAGAGACTAGCGCGGGTTGGTCCAAGTTGAAGTTAAACCCTATATTTTTCTTGCTGCGTGGGGCTATTCACAGCTCGGATATGCTGACCAATAAACGTGTGTACACAACATCTAAGCCGTACATCATCGGAACATCTCTTGTACTATTTACTGTAATTCACGGTAAACTGTGTATATATTTATGAAATATAAAAACATTTTCATTTTTTACTTTTTTAGTGAAATTAGAACTCATCGAATATTTAAATGAACCAACCTTGAAAAAAAGATTGCTTGAACCAAAAAATATAGTTCAATTTGAACTCAAGCTTAATATATTTCAGTGGGTCGAGTTTAGTTTGGGTTGTATACATTATAACTACCCTCCAATGTCCCACCCAAAGACCAACCCAACTCAATTTGCTTATTTGCATGTAATTTTCCAAACAAAAACAGCCTTATAGGTTCGATTTGGTACTA